GCAGCCATTTATTATGGTTTCCCCCCAGTTCCTTTGAGGAGCAGCGCTCCCTGACAAAAGTCTTAATGTGTCATTACGGGGTACCCGGGTTCCAGACAGGTGTCGAGTATAACGTATGATATACACAAAGAATTCTGAATTCCAAACCCCGGGTCCTGAGCCTTTGGGAAGGCTGGGGCACTGAGGTGTCCTCACACGTGTCACCCGTCTGGACCAGGAGGAGGTTCCCGGTCCTGGGAAGGGCGGACTTGGGCCGCAGAAATGGCAGAGTGACCGTGCTGCTGCGGTGACTTTCACACGGATAGGCTGTGGGCTGGTGGTTCAGAGATGTCGGAGCCGGGGACCCTCTTTGCCCTGCCTCTGGGCGGATGGAGGAAGCAAGGGGCACGCGAGGGGCTGGAGCGGGAGGAGGGTTTCCTGTCTGTGGAGGGTGCAGCAGGTCACCTCCCTCCAAGGGGTCCTTACCTGGAGACGTGGTGCCCACAGGTCTGTCCCTTCCTGGGGGACGAAAGGCTCCCGATGCGCCACCTGGGAGCACTCCAGGCTGAGGGTAGCACGAGTGTGATTGTGACAAGGAGGATGGGGGCACTCGTGTTTGTGAGTTCCGTGTATTCACTGCAGGTCCGGGGCGCCGGCTTCCTCGCATGTAAAGGGGGCGCGCAGTGCCCCTCGCTGCCCTCCAGCACAGGACGCCAGGACCCCTCTGGGTCTGCCAAGCAGAGAGGGGTGCAGAGCCGGAGCTGGCATGAGGCAGCCAGACCCCACGGGGCAAGTTTTACGGAAGCGCCACCGGGCAGGGTGGTCAGAGGCCCAGCTGGGGACTGGGGGCCACGGGAGCAGGAGTCGCAGTCCAGGCCGGCAAAGGGACAATCAGATTTTTTTATTCACTTGATTTTTAGATTCACTTGTTGATATGTATTTGTTCATAGTTTTTATCTTTACCATTCCTTATTCCTCTTCTTAAAGAATACCTTTCAGCATTTCATATAATACTGGTTTGGTGGTAATGAACTCCTTTAACTTTTCCTTATCTGTGAAGCTCTTTATCTGACCTTCAATTCTGAATGATAGCTTTGCTGGATAAAGTAAACTTGGTTGTAGGTTCTTGGTATTCATCACTTTGAATATTTCTTGCCACTCCCTTCTGGCCTGCAAAGTTTCTGTTGAGAAATCCGCTGACAGTCATATGGGTATTCCCTTGTATGTAACTGAGTTTCTTTCTCTTGCTGCTTTTAAGATTCTCTCTTTGTCTTTTGCTCTTGGCATTTTAATTATGATAACCGATTGTCAGCGGGGCGGTGCTGCGGTGCCTGGGGCTGCGGATGGGAGGGGTGGGCGCCAACCCATGGGGCCTGGCCTCTGACCCTCACAGCCGGAGCGCGCACTCCTCCCAGGATGGGTGGAGCGGCCAGGCGCCCTCCCACTGGTCCAGCGCCTGCATCCTCAGGCTGACCTGGCCGCATACGGAGGATCCGGAGTGAGGCCACTGGTGATGGCAGGCCACAGGCTGGGAGCCCCTGCATCACCCAGAGCCCCCGGGGTGCGGGGTCTCTGTTCAGCAGCCAGCACAGAGGCCCTGAGCAGCCCCAACAGGGGAGCCTTCGCCCACCCCACCCCACTCCTCTGCGTCTTATGCCCCTTTCTCCCTCCACACCAATTTGAGTGGCTGGTCTGTGGCCAGGCCTCTTCTCCAGGCTGGGAGCCTCCAGGGCCTGGTCTGAGTCATCCCCAAACCCAGCAAAGGGTCTTCCCACCTAGTGGCTATCCAAAGCTGTTGGCTTGGTCTGCACCCTCCAGGACCGGGCAGGAGGCTGGTCTGGGCACCCACTGTGAACCCCAGGTGGAGTCAGGGTGAAACAGAGCTGGAAACCCAGAGAGTGAGATGGGGGTGGGTAACCTGGTGGGCTGGGGCTCTGGAGCAGCCCTGCTGGGGCCTCTCTGGCTTGTTTGTGGGAGAAAAGACAGGCCCAACCTCGCACCAGGGTGGCCCCTGGCAGCCCTGGTGAGGATGGAGGCTCGTACAGCAGGTAGATGCTGGGTGGAGCCCGAAGTGCTGGCTCAGGGTGAGGCAGGTGAGCTAGGTACGGCCCAGCTGGGAGTCACTGGCTGCCTGATACCAGTCTCTTGGCAGGGACACACCCTGCCCCGGGACTCCTGAGGCTCGTGGGGAGGGGCCCGGTGTCAGCCTCACCCTGCCGGTGAGGGGCTCCCCGGGGAGCCCAGGCTAGGAACTGCCTCCCCATCGTTGGCGGCTTGGACAATGCCTGAGATGCAGGGACACACACCGCCAGGCCATTGTTTGAGGGAGAGAGGGAAGGCCTGGAAGATCAGCCCCCATGGCTCCTGGGCCTGCAGTCACTGGCCAGGCAGTTGCTGCCCAGCATCGCTTAGGGCCCTTCTTGCCAAGGTGTGAGTCCCCTTAGGCCTGTGTCTGCACCCCCTTGAAGTCAGCTAGCTGCCAGCCTAACCCATCCCCTGCCCCTGGGATCTGAGGGAGAGGGCACCATGCAGCTAGGGGGAGAGACCCGGGAGCAGGGTGAGGGAGCCAGGAGCACATGTGGCAGGAGCACATGTGGCTTCGCTGTTACCGTTGTTGGTGTTACTGAGCCGCAGCCTGTCCACACTCTCGCTACTGAAAGGGGGTGGCTCTCTGGGCTTCCACCCCATCTCAGGAAGCAGGGAGGGCTCTGGTGGCCCTTGGCGCCCTCCCTCTGATCCCCGTCCAGGCTCAGGCAGTGATGGAGGCTCTGTTGGCTCTGGTGCCTGCTTCCAGAGCTGACTCGGGTGATTCTAAGAATGGAAATGCCTAGAGAGTCTCGGGCTCCAGGAGGAGGTGGGCGCAGCTGTGTCTGGGGCTCGGGAAGCCCGGAGAGGAACTGGTTGTGCTTCAGGGCCAGAGAAAGGCGGTGGCAGGGCCCCTTCTCCGGGGCTCTCCCAGGGAGGCCACTGGCCCTATATCTGGGCACAGTCGGGTGATGGGGCAGGCAAGGTGGGAGCTGGGAGTGAGACTCTCACCCTCCCGACCTACGCCTCCCAAAGGCTGTGCCTTACCAGCAGGGACAACGAGGGGATCTGGGAGCCGCGATCTGGGAGCCGCGAGCTCTGCCAGACACCAGGCTCCCTCTCAGCCTGAGCCCAGACCCAGGTCTGTCTGTCTTCCTGGAGATGCCCTGGGTCTGAAATGCCAGAGTTCTGGGTGGGTGTTGGGCTGAGTGCCATGTCTCAAGTGGACTCAGCCCAGAGGCCTCCTGCAGGTCAGCATGGCCAGTGAGGAGGCTTTCTTGGAACCGGGACTGGGGGCCTGTCCAAAAGAGCTTGGGGCCCTGTGGCTTCCCCACTCTCCATCCTCTCCTCCCGGATGAAACGCCCCCCTGTACCCAGCTGTGGGCCGACTCCCCATCAGGTGCCAACGGCTCTAGCACCACCAGCCTGGCCAAG